GCTGCGGCCTCTCCCGTTGCGGAGCACAGGCTCCGAACGCGCAGGCTCAGCGGCCACGCATGGCTCACGGGCCCAGCCGCTCCGCGGCATGTGGGATCTTCCCGGACTGGGGCATGAACCCGCGTCCCCTGCGTCGGCAGGCGGACTCTCAACCACTGCGCCACCAGGGAAGCCCTGCCTTCTATTTTTAAGGCAGTTTTCTGGTAATGGGTAGAAAGAAGTTAATAGAAGGAAGCTGTCATTTTACAGAGTTTATCATTGACTTAGGAAGGAAAAATATTACAGGATATTGATAAATAGCAAATATATTTCATAGGTGGAGGTGTTAAGAGGGACAAGAGAATACTTCTGACTGGGATAATCAGGGAATACTGGGGAAGAAGATGGAATTTCCATGAGCCTTACAGAATGGGAAATGCATGAGTAGCCATGGAGAAAGGGACATTTCATCGACTGTGCCTCATAGAAGCAGGGCCCGTCACGGCATGTCCAGGGGGCAGTGAGTAGACGATAGCATAGTGCTTAAGAGCACAGACTCTGAAGCCAGACCGCCTGGCTTTAGGGTTGCCCTTAATTTGCTGTGTGACCTTGGGCCGCTTTCTTAACCTTTCTTTGCCTCAGCTAGAGTAAAAATGTGGTACTAATCGTGCCTAAATCATAAGGCTGTTGGAAAGATTTGAGAATAGTGCCTTCAAATAGGGATGGCACAAGTTAAATGGTAAATAAAAATCACTGAGTTAGATGATAATGGCGGGGATGTGGGTGAGTGAACATAAAAAACAAGGTTGTAAAGAAGATTGGAGTGAGCTCATGCAGGGACTGGACTGTCAGGAATGCATAGAGTTTGCAGGGAAGAGTTAGGGAAGCTTTATAAGCAAGAAAATATGATCAGAGTAGTGTATTTGGAAAAATAATCCAGCAGAATAGGCTGAAAAAGAGACTGAAGACAGAGAGACTGGTTAGGAGACTTGTAATTGTCCAGACTTGAGGGGTTCAAGACCAGGACTCAAATGCTAGAGCATGGGTTTGGATTAAGGGACAGACATTGGAAACATTTCCAAGGGAACAGTTCTTAGGGTCTGGGGGCTGATAGGGACAGCGGAGCCAGAGGGCCATGCCTGAGTAAGTGGGAGAATGCAGACATACAGGAATAGTGAGGATGAGCTGGTAATGTGCGCAAGCAGATGAAATCCATGTTGCCTGCCTTGAATTTAAAGATAAGAACAAGATTTGCGGCAGTGAAAATGCATATCTGCATTTCTCCAAGAGCAGTCAGGCCTGGATCTAGAAATTGAAGGAGCATTGTGCTATGCAAGCCAGTGAGGGAATTAGGAAGAGAGTAGACAAAGCAAACATTACAGTAAGTTTCTTTTGCATTTCTGTAAGAGAAAGTGTGAGTCTCAGAGAGTGAAACCGTGTTCCTAATCCAGTTGACTCACTTGAAACATGGGCGCTAGTCGAGCTCCCTGGCCTGTAAAGTGCCACTTCACAGCTCAAGTGCCAAGCAGAGTGCTGGAGGAGATGTGCTAGGTGTTTATAAATGCAGGGTTTCTGGATCTGCAGTTACACATCATTGCAAACAGGCTTTATTCTCGTGAGGGAGAAATAGCCTTTCAAGTATGCTAATTAACCTTATCCAGTTCTAACCACGCCTTTAATGTGAATCCTGTCAGCACACACGCACACGTACACAACCACACACACATACATACACACATAATTTATATTATTTATATGCTTTTCTTAAAAGTTGTTCCACTTCAACCATTAGAATATATGCCTTTTCTCTTCCACTACACTTTAATTACCTGTGGGTAAGTAGCAGACCTGTTGGTTTTAATCCTTCGCAGTTTTTGCTGTTGTTCATTTATGTATTGATTCCACTTTACTCATTCATTCATTCATTTATTCATTCCAGACACTGTATTAGTTGCTATGGTGAAGAATAAGACATAGTTCCTGCCCTCAGGGAGCTTACTCTCTAGTTGGGGAAGAAAAGACACAAATATATGTAGTAGAGGCAATAATCTAGTCATTCGGAAAATTACAGGAACATAGGAAAAAGACTTTAATCTGGATTATGTGGAAGGGGAAGTGGGGAGAGAGAGTTCAGGGAGGAGTTGTGGAGCAGCTGACTCCTGGGCTGCATGTTTTTTTTTTTTAACATCTTTATTGGAGTATAACTGCTTTACAATGGTGTGTTAGTTTCTGCTGTATAACAAAGTGAATCAGTTATACATATACATATATCCCCCTATCTCTTCCCTCTTGCATCTCCCTCCACCCTCCCTATCCCACCCCTCTATCTAGGTGGTCACAGAGCACCGAGCTGATCTCCCTGTGCTATGTGGCTGCTTCCCACTAGCTATCTATTTTACATTTGGTAGTGTATATATGTCCATGCCACTCTCTCACTTCATCCCAGTTTACCCTTCCCCCTCCCCGTGTCCTCAAGTCCATTCTCTGCGTCTGCGTCTTTATTCCTCTCCTGCCCCCAGGTTCTTCAGAACCACTTTTTTTTTTTTTTTTTTAGATTCCATATATATGTGTTAGCATATGGTACTTGTTTTTCTATTTCTGACTTACTTCACTCTGTATGACAGACTCTAGGTCCATCCACCTCACTACAAATAACTCAATTTCGTTTCTTTTTATGGCTGAGTAATATTCCATTGTATATATGTGCCACATCTTCTTTATCCATTCATCTTTTGATGGACAGTTAGGTTGCTTCCATGTCCTGGCTATTGTAAATAGATCTGCAATGAACATTGTGTTAGATGACTCTTTTTGAATTATGGTTTTCTCAGGGGATATGCCCAGTAGTGGGATTGCTGGGTCATATGGTAGTTCTATTTTTAGTTTTTTAAGGAACCTCCATACTGTTCTCCATAGTGGCTGTACCAATTTACATTCCCACCAACACTGTATGAGGGTTCCCTTTTCTCCACACCCTCTCCAGCATTTATTGTAGAGAAATGCAAATCAAAACTACAATGAGGTATCACCTCACACCAGTCAGACTGGGCTGCATCTTAATGAGTGGTGGTTACTAGGTGAATAGGAAGGATGGTAGAGAAGTGAGGTGAGGACAGGCTGTGAATAGGTAGCCCCATTCACAGGAGAAATGAGGCAGTTTTGTATTCACTGTAGCATAAAGAGAAAGGCAGAGGGTGGTGACAGATGAGGCTGTGTGACAGGCAGAGACCACTGGAGGGACCTGTATGTGGTGCTTAGAAGATTGGACTACACTCAGTGGTCAAAGAAGAATGAGATCCTTGAAATGGTTTATGCAGAGCTGTGATCAGATAAGATTTTAGTCCTCAGTGGCAGTGGGAGTATGAATTTAAGGAGGACAAGGCATTTGGTGGTTAGTCCAGGTGGGAGACTTTGAGGACATGAACCAGGACAGTATTGTAGGAATGGAGACGAGGCGGCAAAATCAAGAACCATTTGTGATGTAAAGTCAGCAGGACCCATTATAACCACAGAGGAGGGAGAGGAAGGCCCTAGGATGATTCTTATGTATCTGCCTTATATGACCGGGTGACCAATTTCACAGTCTACTTAGGCAGTACAGGAGGAGATAGAATATAGGGAGTTCATTTTTGCTTTTATCTTCAACACATTGAAATCTTTAATGTGCTCTGACATATTTTGAGTTAAATCTAATTAATGGTTCGCAAAGATGTCTGGATGACTAGAAATATTTCAACATCAATATTCAACATTAACCATATCTCCTCTTGGAAGCAGAGGTGACTCTGCTTTTCCTACAAAACCCTCTGCAGTCATCTGTCATAACTCTTTCACTGGGTTGTAATCCTTGAATTTTTCTTTTTTAACTCTGTAGTCTCAGACCAGTGTTTGGTCCGTAACCTCTCCATAAGTGTGAGTGAATGAGTGAAGAAATGAGTGGATAGATTATTTTTTAAAGTAATATTATTATTTGATTATTAGGAAAAGCTTATATTTGGCTTGTTGTCATTCTGATTCTTCTGTTTTAACTCCTAGCACCTTCTACTGGAAGAGTCGCAAGCAGTGGGACATCCACAGGAGCAGTGGCATCAGCCAACTCAGCCGAAAGGCAGCCCCAGCCCAGTGATGAGGACACTTTGGTGCAAAGGGCCGAGCACATTCCCGCAGGGAAACGAACTCCAATGTGTGCCCACTGCAACCAGGTCATCAGGTTGGTTATTTGATTTTAAATTTTTCTTGAAAGGACTTAATACCATTATGGATTTTTTTTAATATTCTGAAAGATTAGAAATTTTATTAGTGAAAATATTCTTGCTGTATTTCTGTATAATAGTATTGAAGTAGACACATATGAATATATATACATTTGTTAGAATCTATTTTAATAAAAATAATTCTGGGCTCTGTGATAATAAAACTAAAAATACCAACTTAGTCAGTTATTAATTCCTATCAGAACTAAGGGAAAATAATGATTAATGTGGCTTTTCAGAGAATAATAAAATATTAAGACTCACAGGGACCCCAAAGAACTTCATTATTTCACAAATTATAAAAGTGAGGACTTCCATTTAGATGAAAAATAACTAATGATGTAAAATAAAGAACTTGGAGTCCTTGAGAAAAGAAGATTGGATTTTTGAATACCTAAGCTCTAAAAGATATAATTACCTTCAGATCTATTCATAAATGCTTTACATTTTAGATTAGGTCATAATCTGCTTCTTTAAAATATTTTTTATCCCAATGTATTTTATTGTTTCTTTAATTCTGATAAGCAGAAAAGGCTAAAAGTAAGCTCTTAAGTGACTGTATTACACTGGCACTTATAAACCTCAGCGTTTCTGAACAAGTGACTTTTCAAATGTTATGAGGGGGGGCTTCCCTTGTGGCGCAGTGGTTGAGAATCTGCCTGCTAATGCAGGGGACACGGGTTCGAGCCCTGGTCTGGGAGGATCCCACATGCCACGGAGCAACTAGGCCCGTGAGCCACAACTACTGAGCCTGCGCGTCTGGAGCCTGTGCTCCACAACAAGAGAGGTGGCGATAGTGAGAGGCCCGTGCACTGCGATGAAGAGTGGCCCCCACTTGCCACACTGGAGAAAGCCCTCGCACAGAAACGAAGACCCAACACAGCAAAAATAAATAAAATAAATTAATAAACTCCTAACCCCCAACATCTAAAAAAGAGTAATGTTATAAGGTTTAGGTGTGAATGTTAATGCAGGGATCCCACCAGAGGACCCTGTTGCCTCTGTGAGTTGTCTTGTTGGCAGTAACAGATGATTACTTGAAATGACTGCTCAAGCTCTCTCCTCGTTTTTAATTTACCCTGTTTTGTAATAGTTGAAACAACAGCACCTCTAAAGCTGAAAAAGGTTAAGACTTACTTGCATTTTCCCTCCTCTCTTACATAATTACTGCTTAGGATAATGCTTCTAGTTACTACTTAAAATGGAGCACAGGGAGTCTCAATATCTTATTTAAGAACCAAATATAGATATTCTTCTCCTTAATTCACTATTAAATAATAAATGTGTCAAGAGCACAGAACAGAGTACATGATTTTTTGAGAAGTAGCTTTTGCCTTTTAAAGGTAGTCTGTGTTCATTGTGACATTTCCAAAATATAGAAAAACAGACAGCGAAAATAAAAGTTCATACATAATTCCACATCCCAAGGTAACCACTATTAGTATTTTAGTTCACACTTTTAAAACACACACACATAAGGACAGATGTTGTTTTACAGAAATGAAATCATGATATTTTGTAAGCTGTTGTTTTTCCCTTAGTTTGTATTTTCCACAGTGAGCACCTGCTGTATAAGAATTAGCCAGCAGCAGTAGGAGGGGTAATAATGGTTTATGGGGAGAAGCAGAAAATCAATAGAGGTTTCCAGAGTCTAGCACAGTATCCGACACACAAAAGGCATTCGGTGAGTGTTTGACCTGAACAGATCATACATGACTGTAGACCCACTCATCCTTCAGGTCATAGTATCAATTTGGTTAGAGACATTTTTTAAAAAGTACTACTATAGGGTCTTAACAGAAATATTTAAACTATTATAGAATCTAGTGTGGTACTGCTTTGTCTCAATAAATAAAGCAATGTTTTTAATTACTAACTCTATATAGGGTTATGTTTTTAAGGTTAATATTAATAAAAATAAGTTTTGCTTTGTAACATTGTTTCTGTAAGTTATGGTACTTTGGTTACGTAGACTGGTATGTGGGGATACTATAGTCTGGAGAAAAACACCCTTTATGGAGACAGGAGTCACTGCTGTTTGTGTCCTGTTGTAATAAGCAATTGATTACTGGATGGATTAACAAAATGTCAAACCATATCAGTTTCTGACTCTTGTTGTCTGATTATAAAACTCTGTGATATTCTACTATCACCACTGCCAGCACATCTGAAAAACTTAGTATGGAGAATATATGAAGACCAAAATAGAAATTACATTCCCCACCCCTAACTGCCATGGTTTCAGTTTTTAATGCTAGCCTAGGATATAATTTTAATACACAGTCTTCTGCCAAGTAAAATAAATATTATGTTAAAAACATGAATGCCACCACTTATTGCCCCCCCATCTGTTAAATTTTATACTACTCTGGAATATCTCGGCACTTGTTATCAGTTAAGCATTAGAGCTTCATTTACTGGGGAAGTTAACAGGAACAGGTATTAGCTCATGTCAAGATCCTATAACAGTAATTAACATAGCACATTTGCTTGGTGCTCAAATGCTAAAGCAGCTTGAATAGATTGTGGTCAGTTCAGAGAGCTAGTCAAAGCATAATTCTAGTTCTTGGCCTCAGTGTCAGTATCACTTACCAAAGCAAGGAGGCATTAGGTCAAGTGACATTCTCTTGGACACCTGTTTTAAAAACAAGCTGCAGTTGTAGGCTTGATACTTTCAGTATAGAATATGGTAACCTGGCAGAACCTGAGAAGTTTAAGATTATTTTATAACTTATATTGTTGTTTTGTTTTCCACAGTGTAATTTACATTGTTTATAATTTATATTGTTTTATATTTATTTTCTAAATGTTTCAAATTTTGAAAAATATTTTTAAGTAAAGGCAAACTAAGGCAAATTTTATGTTTTATTTTATTTTATTTTTAGAAAAATTCATTGTTTTTGGAAAATCTCAGAAACCTGGATCACTGAATGTTGGTACTGAACTGATTATCTCTTATTGAACTTATTTTTTAGCTTAAAACTCCATAGATCATTTTATTTTCATCTAATGTTTATAATTCTTTGGTTTATTTGAATCTTGAAAAGATTATGGATGTTTTGCCTAAACTGTATTATTTAGGCAATACTTTGATTAGTCAGTTGCCTTTTACAGATGGATAGAACATTACATTTTAGGAAATTCTACTGAAGCTCTGATTAAATTGCTCTAGAACATTTCCAATCCATTTATGATAGAAGTACCATTTCTTCGACTCATACTCATGAACAGATTGACTGTTTGGAGTGCTGATATAATAGGGAAACAGAAAATCAGGCTACTAATATAGCCAAAGCCATATTTAGTTTCTCTGGTAGAACGGGCTTATGAAAACAGTAGCTTATTTCTGAACTGTTACATCTAGTGGCATTAATATCCACTTGTATTACATGAAGTTTAATGGACCATTCACATTTAGCTTCTTAGCATTTTGGTGAAAGAAGTAAGGGATTCATGGTGCTTGATTTCTTCTTTGATATGAAATGCTTAAAAAAAAAAAAATAGCCACAATGCTATTATCCTGTCTTTGCCTACAGTCCAGCACCAGAACAATCACATTCAGACAACTCGTGACAGAGAAAATTTTAACATTATTGATTTATTTCCTGCTCACTTATTTTCAAACTTTTCTCATAAGGAGGGCCATCTCAGTTACCCCAGGAAGAAGCTAGCAGAGTTTTTTTGCCTGTCTCACCGTCCAGTTCTATTTCTGAGCACTCCATTATTAATAGGTTTTATTTATTTTCCCTTCTGGTTAAGATTTTACTTGAAAATAAAAGACTTCTTGTCTTAATGTGTTAGTCCTTCCATTTAAAGAAACAACCAAAGACATAGACCAAGGTTTATGAGCAATGCATAGACCAAGATTTCAGATCTACTGTAGTGATAAATTGGAAAGAACAAAATGTTCAGCATCTATATGATGTAATATTATGGTGCCATTAAGATGCTGTTTTTGGATAATAATTGTTTAATGTATTCTTAGCATATGCCAAATACTGTGTTAAGAATTTTAACTGAATTCTCATTAAATTCTTATAAACTTGTAAGACAGTTATTATAATTGCCTAATTTCACAGATGAGAAAACTGAGGCACAGAAAAGTTACATATTTGCTGAAGTTACCTAGATAGTAAATGGTAAAACCTGAATTTGAGCTCAGATCTAACTTTAAATTGTATTCATGGTTTAACTTCCACTACTTAGGAAAAAGTTATAGTATTAAGATAAAAAAAGAACTATAGAACTCTAAATAAAATATGATTCTAACTTTGTGTAAAGAAAATACATACCAAGATATATAAATATATAATATATATAAATATTGTGACTCTCTATATATGTAATCATATATACTACTGTATTAAATCAGGAGAAAAAACAGCTTAAGCAGACCTGTCATAACTTGAGTGTGGCAAGGTACTCTTCATAATGTTAGAGTGGGTAAGTGAGAAAGGAGAAAGTAATAGATAGGCCGAACAGTTACAGGTTCTTTCCTCCCCACCAAATGACTTTGTACCCCATACATGCATTCCTAGACTCATGAGATGACCAAGGGGATGAGAGGTTTACTTTTCCAGTTTCTCGTCTAACTATAGACGAGACTATAGGATGACTATATTTCTATTTCTTGTAGAAATATAGCCATCCTATAAGCAGTGCTCATTGAGTATTTTATGTGCCACCTCCTTTAAATACCAGGGATAAAGAAATCAAAGACATACTTACTCCCTTCCCTTAAGGAAGTTACTGTTATAGACTGAATTATGTCCCCCCAAAATTCATATGTTGAAATCCTAACCCCCAATATATCACTGTGACTGTAACTGGAGATAGGGTCCTTAAGAGGTAAAGTGAGGTCATTAGGATGGGCTCTAATCCAGTATGACTGGTGTCCTTTTAAGAAGATATTAGGACACACACACATACAGAGGGAAGACCAGGTGAAGGTGACCAT